GTGTTAACCATTCACCCTCTAATGAAGTTATCCGGCAGGTCGGACCAGAATTGTTAGGAAACCTATGAACAATAAATGAATTAAGAGGACAAAATGGTATAAGAAAGGATCATAGATCCTGTTTCATTGAAATAAAGGCCAAAACAGAAGGAATAACCTACTGTCCAGAGCTAGGCTCCTTAAGAGACCAAAACGGTACTCTCCACTCTATATTTCATTCACCCCCCTCCCCTACACACACTGTCTTGACAATATAAAGGTAATAACGAAAAGGTAAATCTTCCTAGGATCCTCCCATTCTCTCTCTCTAACTAATTTTGTCCACCTCAGCCCCTTTTATTTTGTTTTCTCCTGCTATAAACTTGTCCCCACTTCTTTTGCTCTTTTGTTTCTTTGTCCAATATATTGTGTGGCCCAACAGGTATTTGGGCTGTATCAGGTTGTTTACTGATTTTATTATTGCTTGGGATATTTTTCAGATGGTTTGCTTCAAAATGTTCAAGGTGTATTTACTAAGTGGAAAAAGGCTCTTACATCCTATCTGAATGGCAACGATGAGCAGGTGAATCTGTCAATTCTCTCCCTTTGTTTACGAGATTCATGTTCACTTGTGTAGCAATTATATTAGAATATTTACTGATAATGTTGTCAATACTTTTTCTTTATTTTTCACTGCAAAATTCTATAGAATATATATTTTTATTTTCATGATTTCATCATTCAATTGCCATTTATAAGGCTTCAAGGTATGAATTCTTTTGCAAAATTGTAAAATTAAACATGCAATTCTCTGCTTTTTATTTCTGTATGTAGGCTGAATAACTCTAGCGTTGCTGTCATATTCTCTGACTAATTAAATATCTACACTGGCATGCATGGCACTTTATGTTCTTCACGTAATTTTTAACTTGTTTTGGACTATACAAACTGTTAGTTTTTGTCTGCTGCTAAAGTTAGGATTTTTGTGGCAGTATCAAATAAAATCTCTTATGGATTTGCTGCTGAGCAATCTTTGAGCTTGGTTATTTCATCTTATACTTGCGTTTTGATGGTCTTTAAAACTATTATTACTCGTTGGGTAAAAGAAGTAGAGAAGGCAAAATGATATTTGATTGTGTGAAACCTGTAGTGTAATCAACTTTGAGTTGTCATAAAGGATCTTTATCATTATGAATTACTTTCGTGACTTGTCTAATGTTTTTTTGAATGATAGAATTTTACTGAATTTGTACACCGTGTGGTGCCTTACTGGCTAACTAGCCCTCTGCTAATCTGCTTTGAAATTTTACACCAGATTGAAGTAATTCTTAAATTTGAAGAAATGTGTTTGGAGTCGGCTAAGGAGTTTGCTACATTGTTCACAACGGTATGCTTATTTTCTTTTAGTTAGATTTATTGACGTCTCATTCTGTTTGTGGGAACATCATGCATAGAAGTATAAATGTGGCCATATATCTTTCATAATTATGAAATTGTTTTTTATATCTTTCATAAATTAGGCTAATTAATTGCGATGTTTTAATTTAAATCTGATAGGAAAACTAAAATGGTGAACTCAGATTCAAATAATGTTATATTCTTTTGATCAAATAGAAATTTTTTTAATATCAGTCATAGTAACTTTTGCATTGTTGTTCTGTGTAAAAAGTAAATCAATTAACAATGTTAGGAAACGGATTTTTACGCAGAAACAAGGTTTAAGAAAGTCTCTTGCTCTCATTCTTGTGCATCTGTTTGAATTGAAAGTACTTCTGTGACATTGAGTTTTTGTCATTTTAACTGTGTAGCCTTTTCTTTTTTATGTTGTGACTTAATTGCTGCTTTCAGATTTTGCACCACTTGTATAATGACGATTTTGTAGAAGAAAATGCTATTTTGAGTTGGGAAGATGAGAAGAAAGATGCTGATGAGGCAGATAAAGTTTTTGTTAAGCAAGCCCAAAAGTTCATTCAAGTAAGGAACCATTGTTTGTTTTTTCACACTAACAGAACTAGGTTTTATGCTACCTGCGTTTTTGGGTAAGCCATTTAACGTTTCATGTTGTAGTGGCTAAAAGAGGCACCCGAAGAAGACGATGATGACGAGGAATGAGATAGGATTTTTGAGGGTCCTGTCATCTCAGCAGCTTAAAAGGGGCTTCAGTGCATTCATATACGCTTTCAAATGGGTAATTATTGACGAGTTTCTGTGCATATTATGTGGAGGAATTAATCTTAAGAAATATGAAAACCTTAGAAGATCGTATCCCTCGAGTTTCACTTACCTGTTAATTTTTACTCACTCAACAGGTTAAGTGATGAAACTTTCGAAATTGATATTTTGATTCCTTGATCATTCCTGTACTCATGCGGTTGAAAAATACTTAGGCGAACTGTAGTAATTATTAGGACAAATGTAAAAATAAACTCCTCCAATTTTGGGTCATGTATGAATTTAATAATTATGTTGGCTTCACTACATAAGAGAGGTTTAGAAAGAATTAGGTATCATTGTTTACTTCATCACGAAACTCTACACCCTATTCGTTATTTCGTGTTAATTGAGTAATTTTCGGTTTCAAATTGTAATTCTTTGATTAACATTTGGTATCATTATAAAATAATTTTACACTGATTTATTTACATTATGGACTACTAGTGGAGGACATAGATAGTGTCCACTTTTTATAGACATCAAAGTAAAAGTACACTCGACGAGACACTCTTCGTGAAAAATGTATAACTTAAATTCATTTATACATACGCCTACATTTCATAGTTATGGACTATTTATCAAATTAATGGCTTCAATTGTTACAAAAATTCAAGCAGAAAAGTGTAAACAATCTTTGATAAAAAAAACTCAGAAAATTATTTTAGTTTTGTTTTTTATTTTCAGAGTAAAGATTTTTGTTAGAGCCAACTATTATATTTATACTTATATGTCAAATATGATTTTATTATATACATCACAAAGTGATTCTCATAAACAAAATTTTTATCTTTGTATATTGTGCAAATTATACACGATAATTTTGAAAATTTCTATAATAGTTTCACTTACAATTATTCTTTTGGCGAAATTATTTATTGGGTTGCTATAGGTATATATTTCATCAATTTTATCTTTAAATTGTTATAGAACTTAACCATTTCTTTCCATTTTCAAATTAGCGTCAATTGGGTACTATCTATAGATTGGCACGAACAATGTTATGCAATAGGGATTAAATTGATGTTAATTTAAATATCTAAGAAGTTATAGAATCTTTTAACAAGAAAAGGATTGAATTGAATATACTATATAAATATAGGGTTAAATTGAATAAATTATACAAATACATGGAACAAAGACTCCATAAATGATATAATTAAATGTTTATTAAAATATTTGCATTACCTTATGTGGTGAAAATAATATTTTGAGGGTGTAAGTGAATCTCCAAGTTAGTTGTATATTTTTTTATTACTAGGAATATTAAATAAACACCTAACACATTTTTATGATTTGTGGCTTTGAAATCACAAAAAAAGTGAGTTTTATGTCATCCTCAAAATTTACTTGAATTAAGGCTCTAAATATGTTACCCGAATAAGATTTGAAAAAGTAATATTGGCGGTCATCATGTTGTTTGTTAAGTCTTATAAACAATAAAAATAAGGAAGAAACATGTTTTAAAAAAATATATAAATTCCTTTTTTAGTTACTATAATTTATTCTTGATTGATTTAGTATACTATTAGAAGCTTAAATTAATTAATTTAGCATTAATATAATTCCTTGAATTTTATATTGTTTGCGCAATTAATCGAATTGATCAAATTTATACTAATTTAAAAATTAAAGTTTGGTCTCCAAGCATTTTTGAAAGAAAATGAAATGTAATTTTTATTTATTCTTATTATAGAAGATGGAATTCTGTAGGAGGAAGCGACATAACATATCCCAGACATGAGAAGTAGCTACCAGTAGTGGCTTCATAATACAATCCCAAAGAACAACCATCACACAGAGTCTCCATCAGAAACCTGGGCCTGGGCCCGAGCCCCAAGGCCCAGGAGGAGGTGGTCTACCAAACATTGGGCTATGAAAACTAGTTTGGATGAGTAGAGTGAGGAAGAAAAGAAGAAGAGAAAGATTTGTATTAATTTAGTGGTGGTAGATAATGAAAGCATGTTAGATATGCAACCGCAGATAGTAGAGGAAGCCCCTGGTGGTGGACTCCACGGTGGAGGCATCTCTCTTCTCAGTTTCTTTCTTCACTTCATTTATATGCATGACTAATGATTTTATGATACACTTAAATTTCTTTACGTTTATTTGAATTATCTTGACTTACTTTTTACTTTTTCTTTTTAAAACAATATAAAAGTTTACATTTTTATTATTATTTTATCATTGTACTCTTTTTTTTAAACAATATAAAAATTTATATTTTTATTATTATTTTATCATTGTACTGTCAAATGATAGTGAAAGTATGATTATGTTACTTTCATATGCATATAAGAATTTTGGTTACAGCATGAGTGAGACTAGCAAGTTAAATATTTGTTGGGAGACACGTTTCAACTGTCCTTCGTCTTTCGTAACTACAACCTTCAACTGAAAGAACAACTCTCAACTATTTTATAATTATAGTTTTTTTCTATATTTTTAAAAATAGTACTTCAGATTTAGGTTACTTTAGATGATAGTTTTTTTAAGGTAGGTTAAAATGAATTTTTGTCAATGAAAAATGAAATAAAAATTGAAATCAATTATGATAAATATTTAAGTTGACAATCTTTATTTAATACAAAAAATTAATATTTTAAATGAACTGGTACAATAAAATCATTCATGAGAGTTTTTCTCACAAATTGATTTCCTAATTTGTGTTTAAGCTTTTCATTATAATTCTTATTTGGCAATTATCTGATTTGTTGTGGTAAATGATTGAACATCTTTTTTATGTTGTTATCATATTTATTTTTTGTTATTGTTTTTGTATTGGTCGTTGATATGAGTGTAGGAATGATTGTGGATGGCATAAGGGCAGTGATGTAATGGAATCTTGTTGAGATGCGAAATCCTGAAATAGGTCGTGAGAATGATTTATAAATTCAAATAAATGAGAAGGTTGAAAATGATAATAATTGATGTGTTATTGTTAATGTTGATGGTTATTGTTGTGGTGTATGGTGAAGAAGAAAACATACATGTTAAATCAATATATTGTAAAAATATTGAAATAAAGTATAATATATTAAACTTATTTCACTATCACTACAGGATATTTGTAATATGTATCGTGTAACGTCTTGAAACATTTAATATATCTTAATCACAATTTTCATGAAATTTATTTTCTTGAATTAATTCGTTATGTAAGATGGCAAAAAAATTTGCGCTTACAAATATTCGCGGATAAAATTCGTGACGGATAAAATTTATGAAGGATAATTAGTACCTGCGGATATTTACTATCAGCAAATATATTTTTAATATCCACTTATAAATGAGTTGAGTATGAATACTATACTACCCGACCCCTGGTACATGTTAATCCTACAAAATTAAAATTACATTTTTATCCTTAGATTTAAATTAGGTTTTATTCTTTTATATTATTAGGAATTATTACAAATTTGAAGCTGCATTTGTAAACTTGTAAACTTTTCAGTAATTGAATCTTATAAAATTGCACTCATAATGATAATTGGATCTCCTAAAGCCTAATAGTTTTTTATTCTTAAGTTGCAAAGCTGGCTTTTATTAAATTTGGCCTGACTCTTCGTTTTCCAACCTTTTTTTTCTTTTCCTTTCAATTATTTATATTTTTTTAAAATATTCACAGATTGAAAATTGGTATCGAATAGGTATCTTGCGGATTGAAAAATATCCGTCAATTTTTTTATGCGAGTATCAACAACGACATTAAGTCCATGCTGACGTGGTCGTATTTTTTCTCTTCATTTAACCCAATATCTTATTTTTAAAACCGGATAATAAACAAAAATTTAACATAAAGACGAAGTAAATATTTAAGCCTAATTATAACTTTCATAAAGTCATAACTTTAATTTTAGTGTAACTAAATTCTTCACCCTTATACTAAATAACTTCTCACACTAAAATAGTTAAATAAAAAAAAAGTTGTCATTTTTGGATCAAATTTTTTTCATAGTAAACATTCCCAATATTTTTTCTTTTTAAAAAATATACACTTAAAAATTCAAAATAAAATATTGCAATATTTACAATTTAATTAGAACATCAATAACCTAGTGGTTTGAAAATTGGTCAAATGGTTAAATAATCGGTGAGCTAATATAATTCGTTAAAATTTAGTCGTAATGCATAAACGATTTATTTAACTTATTTAAAAAACTTATCGTGGATAATTATAATGAGAAAAATAAAAAATCGATTTGAGAAGGATAATATTTGATGTGATATTTAAGACTTGCAATATGTATTATTAAATATTATATAAAAAGTCAGCGTGAAACATTAAGATTTAGAATGCATATTATGAAGCTATGGTTTATATTTTTAACTCTTATATTATATTTATACATGTTCAGCTATGATTTGAATGTTGGTTCAGTTCTATAATTATTGATAAATACATCCATATTTTATTTAATAATATTACGTATCCTTTATTGTTATGCAGATGTGATTTGAAAGATGATTAAACATAAAAGAACACATTCATTATAAATAAGATCAAAACAAATGAATTAAACTACCTTTTTCTCAATAAAGAGGTAAGAACAATATTTGTGAGTTCTTATAAATATCTCCATATTAGTATCCAATTTTTGTATAAAAAAAATGAAGACAAAAAACTCTTGTTTAATGGGTTGCTTAACCATGTGATTAATTAGTAGTCTCCATTCTTCTTAAATGCCGATTTTTCAACAAAAATGTGTTTTTTATCATTTTTAAAATTTTAAAATAATATATATATTTTTAAATTATATCAGAAAATATACTAATATATAAATGTATATAAAAATAAAATAAAATAAATTACAATAAATTATTCTTCAACCTTCGACCGTGCCAGGAATGTATTATTACATCAAACAGAGATTAGCAGAGTTCTGATTGATAATTAATTACATAACATATAGAACGTCATATACATACATTGGAAACCATGGCAACTTAGAAACTCATGGAGGCCCATGTGGGCGGAATGGGCCTCCAGGTGGGCCAGATGGACCCCCAAAGCAGTCCTGTAGTAACCAGCAGCAGCACAAAAAGCTCAAACTGTCCCCAGACGAATTGGTATGAAAAGAAAACAAAAATCAAAATGTTCTGATTAAATACGAAAAATACACAACATTTTAAAACCCACAATAATTTCACTAAGCATCAGTTTAAAATTACCCTGTTGTGTTTCATACTAGCTAATATCTATAATTAAATTTACAATTGAAAAAAAAAGAAATTTAATTTTTTATCACTTCTTCTAAACTAACTTATAAATGATAGAACATAAAATTTCCTTTATATGCTTTATCTTTGACATTTTTTCCACTTTTATGTTTCAAAAAGGTAATAGATTAAGCCTTTCATGCATTTATATCATCAGTTTTAATAGGAACTAAGCAATTGTATTGAGTTAATCCTCTGTAATAGCATAATTACTGGATCACAATATTTACTTACCAAGAGTTAACGAGATCGCAAAACCCACCGAAAAAACCCGGCCCCGGTGGGCCGGGTGAACCCCAACCTGGCGGGCCGCCTGGGCCTGGGCCGCCTGGGCCTGGGCCGCCTGGTCCCATTTTAAGCAACGATTTTTGTCTTTTGAGAATATGTGAGTTCCTGAAAAAAGAAAAAGAAGGAAAAAGATATATACGAAGTTTGAGTTCCTTGGAAATTTATAGGACACAGCTCATGAAATTAACTTAGCATGGAAGCATATGTGTATATATATTATACATTTGTTCACTTTCTCCCAACTAATCTTCCAATTAATTTTAACCTAACTTTCAAACCATCTTCTACATCACATTCTCGTTGAAAATACTTTTAGTGAAAGGTTGTTACTCAATAACTACATCTTTAGAATTTCGGAATCTGATTGGTGAATGATTCATCTTCAATGTTGTTCTTCACATAATCAGTTCATCTTAATTTTAACAAGTTCAATTAATTTTCATTTAATGGAAGTTTTTATTGTTTAACTCACATATTTAACGCAAATACTAAACAACTCATAACAAATATAGGCTAATATACCAAAATTTCCATAATTTTGCACAGCTCAAAATTTAATGACACATAAAAGTATTTTTAAAAAAATAATAATTTAACTAAATAACTCTCATAATATGTGCTTTTAGTATAGTAATAATTTAGGATGTTACTGAGAGTCTGAGTTAACTCACATTTATTTACTAAATAGGCAAGACTTTTTTTTGAAGATTTAGTTACAAAAAAGAGGCCTGTAGTTTAAATATTCTTTTTGACCTATGTATATATTTTGAAACTATAATTTTAAAATTTGAGTATAGTGATATATATTTAAGGGCAATGAGTAAGAAATCAAAGTAAAAGTTTTTATTGAAAAGCATTTAAATTTGCGTAAATATTCCCATACCTATTTCTATTAAAAAAAACTTTCATTTTAAGAACATTGTAAAAAAAATTAAATTTATCACCCTCTTGAATTGTGCTCTTAAATATAATCAAATTATTTTAATTAATATTTGACATTTTGATACTCATTTATTACAATTGATAATAAAGACTAAATTCACTAAAAAATATTAATTACTTTAATTAAGAATAATTTGCGCAAACTTAAATAGGACAAGATAATATATACAAAATTTAAAATATAATTATATAAATAATTTTATGCTAGTTTCAAATTATGTAAGGATAAAAAAAATTGAAGTGACTTTTTAAAATTTCATATAATTATTTATGTTTTATAATTATTAATTATAACATCTAAAATATACTTTATTGTTATATCTTTTAGAGATAAGATTCATGTTTATGATATGTTAACAAATTATTTTATTTTATAACTATAATACCAAAATTAATATACAAATATAGTATAAACATTACGTAAAATATAATTATTTTGATAAAAATAGTAAATTATTGAATAAAAAGAAAAACAATATGCATAGTTACGTTAATTTACTCTAAATAACAAAGAGAAAATATACTTTTTATACATTTCTACATTTGATACATTATTTTTTTATTATAAAAACCATGTCAAATGAGTATAAATATATCAACCTATCATTATCCAATTACTTTACTTAGTTAAATCACGTGTCTAAACAATAAAATAATCAAAATTTTAAATATTCTTTGTTGATTTAAGTATTCTAATATTTTGCTTTAGCAGCATTAAATTAAAAAAAAAAGTTAGAAATATCAGGTTTAAAACTAACTAAATATTAGAAGGAATAAAAATAGACGGAAATATATGCTTATTTAAATCTAGAAAATACTAATACTATTGGATTCAGTAAAGCTTACCAAATAAAATACATTTTCCTTTATATACTTATAAATCACTCATATGTCATTTTGTGAATCAGTATTTTCAACTAGTTCACCTCAAATGTGGTGAAAATAACTTTTTAAGTCTAAAAAGCTGGGTTTGCAAGATTGATTTTGAATGTGAAATTAGTTTTGCTTAAAATATTTGAAGTGATCTGGTTCCACATGTTTTTATTCTAAAAGCTACTAGTATATTTAATATAATAATTTCATCTTACAGAAAACTAAAATTATGTAACTCAATTCATCAATATGATACTAAATATATGAATATTCACTTAAAATTCATAAAGATATTTCAATATAATACAACCATAAACTCCAACCATTCACACCTTTTTTTTTCATATTAGTAAATTATAAAAATAATAGTCCAAATGGTGAGGCGAAAAATTCATCAATCATAAATTTGATATTTTCTATATAATGCACCCATAAACACAATCAGTCACACCACTAGTAACAAATGCGCTCTCTATCAGTTGCTCTATTTGACTATTATACTTAATAAGAGAAAATATATCTTAAAGAGCTTAAAATACCTCTCTTATGATCTCATTTATAACGACAGAAATATATTACAATAAAAAAAATGAAAGATCTATTCAAACCGTATCATTTTTTGTAATGATTTTATCATCAATATGTATTATTAAGTAGATAAAAAAATTGAACCATACGCTTCATTACGTATCAACCTAAAGTTTCAGCCTAAAATTTTTAAACAATTGAGTTAAATTTTCCAAATCAAACATATAGTAATTGCTGGAAGCTATAGAAAGAGCAAGACAACTTACAAATCAAACTAGACTCTCCTCAACAATCCATGTAGTGGATATTAACCCCACAATAGAACACATTTACATGTAAAGAGTAGAAGTGTGTTTCTAATTCTTCAAATTTATGCTACAAAGTGAGGAATAAGAAAATAATTAATGGCAGCTTTGGATTCTGGCAACAATTAAATACACAAGTCTGAACTGCCAGGTGTGGTTATGCTATGCTATATATACTACAAATGAAGGACAGCGTGGATACAGTAAACCTATTCAAATGAAGGACATAAAATCTCTGTACTCACCCGATTACCTTGTTAATTAGGCAGGGCAGGGGAGGAAATGCTTTCGCACCCTTTGTTAGTAAATAATGAAAACCAAAATCTTCTCAATGAGCTCATTCCTGTACACAAAACCTTCCATGAGCTCAAAACAATATCACATGATGGCTGCCAACCCCACAACATCACCATCATCAACTTTGGACTCCGGAGCATTGACTGAGCTGCGCTGTCTCACTGAAAACCATAACTACGAGGTTAAAATGTTTATAATATTACAAGCAACATTACAATATACAAAAGACATAATAATTGACAGGCACAACAATGTAGAAAAACTACCCCAACAAAGTCTCCAGTTACCACAATTACAATTAACCCCAAACGTTGAGAAGTTCTACAGTTTAATGCATTACATCGATTTATTAACTAACTGCCCACGCCAAACTATATTTTCCAGAAGTTGGAGAAGTAAAATGCGAAAAAAACTAGAAGTCATTGCTTACTTGAAACGTTTGTAATGATATTTACACTTTTCTGTGCAGCAAGTGCTTTCAATTTGTTACCGGTTGCTAATTGAAGTAAGCTTCTCATATGTTGCTTTTGTTCCTTTGGACTGGATGTTTTCTTTAAAGATTCCTCAAAGGCAACTAAATCGTGAGGGGTAATATTGGGGAGAGACAACAAAACCTAAAAGGAGTAAAAAAATACATTACTCACTAACAAAAGTTTTAGCAACCCATTCTTTGGAAATGAACTCCAAATGCCAAATGTAGTCAAAAGGAAAAAAAAAGAATAGCTAAGTTATGAAAAACAAGAAAAATACTAACCTGCCTGGGTGCTGGGTGTCGATCACAAAGATATACAAATATTTCACGACAAATGGCAACTAGATCAGCACTGGTTATTGCATTTGATTCAAGGGTTAAACCTTGAATAAGGGATGTAAAAAGATCTCTAGAAACATATTCTACGAGTTCTGCATGATTTGTTACTATCGCAAGAACTACCAACACAGAGCAATACGAAGAAATTTTAGTCACAGATTCACCATCCGTCCATGTAAAAGCTTCTAAACATAGCCGTAATGTTGGAATGGCCAGACCTTCATGCTTTAGAAGGAAACTGTCACATAAAAGAATTGCGAAAAATAAAACTCAAACTATATAAGTTACAAAATATGGAAAAACTAAAACTACAAACAGGTAGAAAGCATACCCAACCATAGAACAAGATGCAACTGAGTCCAAGCTTTTCAGAGCGTCTAATCGACTAACATGCCCAGACTGTTCCAAAGAAGGAATTCCATTATTAAGGGGAGGAGAAGCAATGACAGAGAGGAGTGAACAAATCTCACGCGTGAGATCCCTCAAAATCGTTTCCTCCATCACTTCCACTTTCAAGTCTGATCCACTAAGAACGCTAAGAACATCTGGAACCTTTGCTCTACCATCTTGTAGAAGACTAGACCATGAACAGCTAAGGGCTTGCTGAGCATGGATAAACAATGGGTGTAGAATTTTCTCCAGCCAAATCTCCCACATATCCAAAGGACAGTTTTTAACCAAAGGAATCAAAGTGGAATGAACAAGCTGTCGAATATGCCTGAACTCCATTGACGGTATATTCTCCATCAGCGCAACAGAAACAGAGTGCACATCCAAATATTTGAAAAATGAATCGCCAATGGTTGTTGACAAGCCCAATACGTTATATCTTCATATAAAGAAAGGATTTAGTAAAAAAGTGGAAATAAAAATGCCAGTCTCATCATAGATACATAATTTTCTGTTCACAAGGAACTTTATTTTCTCTTTTCTACAGATTTGGTGTAAAACCAATATCGAAGGGGAAGATCAATTATATTTGGGACAACAGATAATGAATTATAAATGAAAAAATAGAATAAGATTTGCACACATACCCACTGTCTCTAATGCCTTTAAACCAGTTCCGTATATCTGATCCATTTGGTTCCGCATATCCTTCTTTATTAATGTCGACCTTAGATCCATCTGTGACAGTCAAAGAACCCTTTGGCAATTTGGAGTTCCCTTCTCCAAGAAGACCTGACCTCTCAAAATCAATCATGACCATAGCAGCTCTTACCTCTCCAGGTAAAGCTTGACTTATGGATGGAGACCAAAGGGAATGTATACAACGAAGTAGCTGGAAAACAAGAATGTGATTTACTTATAAATACAAAGTAGTTACAGAGAAAGATTATAAAGCATACCGATCCTTTTGTTTCAAAGTAATACAGGAAACATAACATGGCCAGCCTCTTAATGGCAGGTATACATACTTTCAAGAGAGGAGTCACCATCCATGCTATGTGAGAGGCCATTGGATTTGTTGGAGTTGAATTTGGTGTTGCGCTGTTTTCTGAATTCCAATTGCCTTTCTTCAATCCACTCCTCTTAAGTGCCCTTTCAAAGAATGTCAAGGTATGAAAAATTGACCACATTACAGGTGCTTCAGAGCACAACTGAACCAAACCTTGTGGACCTGACAGATATTTTTCCTGCCACTCAGATTGTGTCCACTGATGGCTCAAAGGTTCTAAAAGCCATTTTAAAACTTCTTGTTGCTGTTCAATTCTGAGCCAAGTTTAGAGCAATAACAAGAAGTGGTTAATTGCAAAACATCAAAAGACTATCAAATAAGAATTAACAGAATTACGTCTCCTGTTGGATTCTTACCCAGAAGAAGAAGCCATAACAAGAAAAGCTTCACCTAAAAGATTATGCTCACTCTGTAGCAAACAACCGTCCCTTTGCAAACATGCCA